TCTCTGAACTCGTAATTTTTTCTTTTTTAGTTTTCGCTGTCATTTTTCATGAATGGACACTTCCTGGTATCTGAGGCAGGAAACATAGCCTTATATGGTGTTTTAGGGGTGGTAATTATGCTAATCTCCTCTCGCGTGCACTAGCAGCTGGATACAAACAGGTGGAATTTACACAGCTCATTTACACACTTTTCCTGAAGATAGAAGAGTTTGTTGAATCTAACGTGACATGTTTGTACGAACCCTTTGTACAAACAAATGTAAGAGAAATTTAGGATAAGAATACGAACATGTTCTTGCATGAGGCCCATTGATACTATACATCACCGACACTAGTAAGAACATATACAATAATTGAAGCTACAGGGACTAGACCAATAACAATACTGACACTGCTGAGTCTAGACCAGGGGTCTGCAACCTTTACGATCAAAAAAGCCATTTCTGCTCCTTGTCTTACTAATAAAATGTGTCCAGAGCCGCAAAACAAGCTACAACTGTGATTATCAACTGGTGGTCAGTGGGCCTTTTCAAGGCCTTTTCAGGAGCCTTTACGGTCATAGGAGGTGACATTATAAAACCAAGAAATATATTGTGAACTTTATTAATAATGTTATTATTACACGTCAGGACAAATGGAAAGACCAGATTCATGTAAACAAGAAAAATACTGTATATAGTTTATACCGAATTTCATAAAAACTAGTACAACTGAATTATTCAGGCATATATATATAAAAATATATATTTTTTCTAAATCTTAATAATAGTCTTCAGATTCTTTAAAGGTAACTGATAGACTTGAGAGAAAAATCATAGAATTAAATTGGATTATTATTTGATTATTTAAGTAAATAACAGGTTAGCATGAGCTAGCATGTTTTACTTTTTGTATTAGCAATATTGATCACATATTTGCATACAAATTGATTACTGTTGTGAGTATAAAAGTTTATTCTTTTATCAAAAAGAAAAATATTGTATAGGTCTTCTGGATGGGTTCTTCTTTAATGAAACGTTTCATTGTCTTTAATCTAATAAACAATTAATTGACAATTAATCGTAAATCGATTAATTGTTTGCATCCCTAGACAGGACCACTGATGATACTGAAACTAGACAGTTGATACTAAGAGACCATTAACGGTATTGAGACTAGATCATTGACACTACTGAGACTAGATGATTGACAGCATATTTTCTATTTTGAGTTGTCAACTAGTCTCCAAAGTTGCAACTCGGTAAAATACTATGTCAACATCTGCTTGGATTTTACATGCACTATTACCTTTTCTTATGGACCATCAAACCACAGGAAAACAAACCACACATACACACAAACCAAAAAGACAAAGACAAGGTTTAGCTGAGGAAGCTGGGGATTGAACCACCAACCARCTGAATAGGAAAACCTTCTTTCTTCAGCAGCAACAGCCTGGTTCTGAAACGATGCAACGCAAACTTAATTCAGCTCCAACTGTCAGATCCTAGAAGCTTCTTTTCAACTGGGCTGATGTCAGTTGATTGTTACCTGCAAAACTGGACTGTGATCAAATGTGGCAAACCAGAAACCCACAGGTCTGTTCAATTTTCAAGGTTCCATTGCCTTTTTTCCCCTTCCAGTTGACCCCTTGTCTGTGTTCACTCATCTGATCCACAGTGGAAACATAAGCCCTTTTCACTCCTAACTTGTCTGTATTTGTGCCACCTGACTGATAGCTGCTGCCTTATTACTGCAGCGTTTGTCTGCTGAGGCTGCTTCAGGTGGCTACAACAGTCACATGGTTTCTGGTTATATTAACGCTGACATGCAGACTCTACAGATGAAAGAAAAACTCCTAGCTGCTCCATACACTTAGCCTGTTAATTTCCTTTTTAAATAGTGCACATTTGTAAGGAACATGCATTTGTGGAATGAGCAGTAGAGCTGAGTATGTGGGTTGCACATGTGAAAAATTTGCCAAATCTTCTCTGCCAAACAGCTTATTTTGCTGTTTTTATTGACTCTTCTTATTTTGAGCTTCTGGTACCCTCGGGTGCTGCCAATTAGGTGCAGGTGTAAGATTTATTGCCCAGAAGCATTGTTATAACAAATTAATACTCTACCAAACACAGATTTCCTTACTTTGTGTGATACACTAATCCTGTATAATTAACCAGTACGTTTACTTTTTGATAAAAAAAAAGTACTGAATGTCTTGCCTCATGTCCCACCGGGTGAAATATAATTTATTTATCCCCGAGAAATATGAAATGCTGCTAAGTTGCATATAGGTCCTACATTTGACACACTGATTTTACTATTGTGCTGCTACTGTGCCCCACCCTCTATTGTGTTCATGTTTTTTATTATTTTTATTGTGCTTATATACAGATTATTTTTTAAATCTTTTTTTTGTTCTTAAATTTTTTTCTTAGACCTTGTAATGTTTTTTTTTATCATAACTGTTCTATCATTTATAATGTTGTTAGAGGCCAGCACAAGAATTCCAATGTGTGTAAACTGCTAGTACTGTATATGCACAAATGGCAGATAAAGATCTATCGATTTATCGAAAACAAAATACTGTGTTTGCTGGTTGTGGTTCTCTCAGTTGCAAAAAATGTTATCACCTGCCATCAAAGCCAAAATATGATGATGTTTTGCCTGTGTCTGTGTGTTCACTTGTGTGAAAAATTTGGCCTGTAGTTTAACTTTCCGAAAATAATCACTGGATGTATACCTGCAACTCATTAACTTTTGGAGCCAGCTTGTTTCATGATGGTTGCCATAGCTAAGCAACCTTAGCCAACCCCAAAATGGGTACAACTAAGCCAGGTTTGCTAACACTGAGCTAAATTTAGGTTAGTACAGTATCTCTTGAGATATGATATACAGCGGGTAAAATAAGTATTGAACACGTCACCATTTTTCTCAGTAAATATATTACTAGAGGTGCTAATGACATGAAA